TCAAACACTCATATTAAACTACAGGTTAACAAAACATGTGTGTGTTAAACTCTATGACAGTTAAATTATTGTATGACAATAATCTAACAACTAGAGTTGCAATGACAAGTCAATTAATCAAGTAATTATTTAGGTCAAGGATTTAGATAATCAAGTCATCACTTCAGACAATTTTAAAACAAAAATTCTTAACATTTGATGCTTTCAGGCTCTCAAATGTTAGAAGGTGCTGCTTTTCTTCTGAGGTTAAACATTTCAATATTTCGGTTTGCTTGAACAACACATAGCAGATGATCAGCACTAGTAATCATGTATGCTACGTTATGTGGCCATGGTAAGTAGGATAACATCATCATGACAATGTCCTGATGTTACAGGTAACCAACAGACTTCCAGAAGGAAAAATCACTTACTTCATGTCATCTGTGCTATTTCTGAAATTCCATTTTACACACCTCACTGTGAGTTATTGCTCACCTGTCTGATATAAATCCATGTGGATCACAGAACTAGGTTTCCCCTGCGCCATGGCCTGCTGCCTTTGTGATACTCTTGAGTTGGCTTTGTCTTCCAACAAATACGTTCCTATATAGCTAACTGCATTCTCCATTACATTTTGAGGGAAAAGTATTGTCTGCCAAATTCATCCTGAATCAACACATATTTGCCATTAATTTTATTGTTTTACTGTCGCTCCTTGTCAGCCAACAGATTATATATCAGATGAGGCACATCAGATAGGAAGTGTTGGAAAGTGAGTGAAAACAAAAGTAAAGAAATGAAGTCTATAAATTAAGGGTTCCACATAGAACGTGAACCTCCCATCTCCTGGGTTAAAGCCCTGTTGCTGACTCATGCTTCCATCGTCCCTTCCTTAAACACACTCTGCAGCTCTTTCTTACTATGTCACCGATAAGAACATGTGTTTCTTTCACACCATAAACAAGAATGTAGTTGCATAGGAGTGAAATATGAGGGGTAAAAGGGTTGCATTGTTTGTGGATGTAGAGGGATTTTCTTTGCCAGGTTCATCCACACTTCACTGACATTCTGCTGCTTACAATAGTTTTACATTTTAGTTAATATGATCAGGTTTTTTATGGCTACAATAGCAGGGCACATTTAACCTACACCCCTGTCGATGCTTTACAGTTACCCGCTGGCACAAGAGCAATGCTGTTGATTCCAAAGCTTTTAACTGTGTGTTGTTACCATGGTAGACTCTAGCTGACACAGCCAGTGTGACAGCAATGACAACACCTCTGTAATTCTATATACAGGGTTGCAGTATTTTACAAGGCACTTTTGTATCGCAGGTCGGCAGTGTTTGTGTGTCTCTACATCTCCAGTATAAACAGTGGAAAGTGAAATGTACAGAGGGGAGGGCTGAGTTGGCAGACAACTGCTCACAAGCATCACTAGAGAGCGGACAGCTGGCGCCATCACTCTGCGTCTCTCTCTCTCTCTCTCTCTCTCTCTCTCATACATTCTTCCTCACTTTAAGATTACATGAGAAACACACTCTCACATCCTCTTACTTCGTTTTTCTCACCTCTCACCCAGTAGTTGTTCCTCACTTTTCAGAGTTGTGCTGTTTACCTGCTTCTTCATAGTCTTGCCCCCTTTTTTTTTTTTCCTCTCAGTTTGCTTCAAGCCCTTTTCTTCCCCCCCTTCTTTCCCTCCATCTGCTCTGGTGTCTGTCTACAGGTGGAAAATGTCCAGCAGATGCTCTGGCCATAGCCCAGGGAGTTGCTGACTTTATTACCATAGCAGCTCTTTATCGCCATGGAAGCCGTCTATCATGGCTGCAACTAGCGTCCTCTTACCTTGTCCTGATCCAGTTGGCATTTGTCTAGACATAAATGCACTCTTGTCACACGAGAAAATTCTCCAAGGGTCTCCCCCATTTACCCTCTTCAAAGTACACACTATGTCAACAGGATTTCAGGTCAGGTCAATTGAAAATGCTGCTACTTCGTGAAAACAGCTGTTCTGACATGAGAAAGAGCAGATGGTCATTCACATTGTTTTTTGAACTCATTCAGTCGTAATCTGCTACAGCTATAGACTAGTTTTCTTCAATTACAATCTGGAAACAGGCCAAATATACCATCCTGCATTTTCTGAACTTCTATGCTCATCAAAAATAACAATCTGGCACTAAGAAGTTGCAAAAGACACAAACTGCAACATGGGCGCAGGAACTGTTGGGTGCCAATTATTTTGTACGCACCACAAAAACAAATACTGAGGCTAAATAAGAAGCTTATTGTGGCAAAATCATACAAAACACATAAAAACTATACATTCAAATGCACACAAACGCATTCCACAGGACTTTTACAACCCCAATACAGACAACTGGCATGGCATATACTGTCCTGACTTCTTTTTCCTCAAAGAACCTGACTTCCATCTCAAAACGCAAAGTGATCATACACCGACTTACTACACTAGTACAATTCTATGTTTCTATGTTACATTTCTGTGACTCCATAAACTTAACCTCTTTGCACGCACACACACACACACGTATCTTCCCAAACATGCAAAGAAACTGTGCCATCTACACACCAGAGAATCGTCGCCCATATTCACCTAATGTCCACATGAACAGGCCAAAAGCAGGTGTGCATATCCTCGCCTACATCAGCACAACGAACAAGCTCTTTTTTTTTTTTTTCCTACCGTCTTTTTTGTAAAGGTCGATCTCCACTTTCCTCTCCTCTGACCCCAGCAGGGCCTGCGCCATCTGGGCGATCGCCAGTCGCTTGGTGTCAGGTCCATAGAGGAAGTTGCATGTGCATGGCTTCTGCATGATCTCAGCACGCGAGTAACCACACATGTGGCAGAAGCCGTCATTGCAGAAGATGATGGCGCAGTTCTCCACTCTTGCATTGGCGATGACAAACTTACGACCTGTGGGTGGAGTGAAGAAAGTTTCTTTTACATTACTTCAGTTTTCACAAACACAGCAACACACGAACAGAACAAATCAACAAATTATTGCGTGCAACAGTGAAAAGTTCAAATACAGAAGAGGAATGTGTAATTGGTGTTAACCCCTGTTTAAATGATACAATTGCATAAGGATTAGTCCTCTCAATTGTTTAACATCGTAAGTGGTAAAACAGCCATCCATCCATCCATCTATCCATCCATCCATCCAATATCTGCCCACTACTTAATCCTTACAAGGGTCACAGCTGACTTAAGGTGAAGGCAGGGGACACCCTGGACAGGTCACCAGTCTATCACAGGGCTACACTTAGAGACAACCAAGCACACTCACATTCACACCTACGGACAATTTAGAATCACTAATTAGCCTCAACATGTTTTTGGACTGTGGAAGGAAGCTGGAGAACCCGGAGAGAACCCACGCTGCATGGGGAGAACATGCAAACTCCACGCAGAAAGATCCCAGGTGTCCTCACAGTGATGTGAACAGGTGACCTTCTAGCTTGGTAAAACATTATTATTATTATTAGTATTATTATTATTATTCTCTAAAGCTGATTTTGCAAGAGGCTGATGCTATGACACCAAGAGAACATTTCATCATCCGTGACGAAGAATATTTTACTGAAACAATCAAATTTGGACTCTGCTCCACAATCCTCTGTGCAGTTACATCACATACATCTTGCGTGAATATAAACAAGCTGGAACCACCGAGAGTGCACGGACCGATGACTGCTCATTTCGCAGTGCAGACGGTGACAGCCAAAGTTTAAGGTGCGTTATTATGACAAAGTAGTTTAATAATTGCATGCAGACTTCATGAAACAGTTCACACTTTGCGAGCACAGCTGCAATAATTACTTAAAGTAAAAAAATGTATGTAGCTTGGAACGCAGCTCACTTGTTTGCCAACTGCTAAAACAACTCAAAAAAGAGGAAACAAACTAAATTTTAGCCATCTACAAGCGCAAAAATGAAGGAAGTTGTCAGGAATTGCTTTCACCTGGACAAGTTGTCATTATTTTTTCACTTCAGCTGCTATTCCACATATTTTATGCTGTCTGGAGGCGAAGGCAACCAAAGACACAGAAACAGCTGATCAGTCACGTGAGTAAAATGTTTGCTGCTGATGTCATACGTCAATATGCACATTCATACACATTATGGAAACACGGCTACTGATAGTGTGAAGACTTAGCATCTCTATATTCTAAACTACAATCAAGACAGAAGCCAAAGAAGGCAAAACTAGTCGATGTAAACCTTGTATGAAAGTAAATTTCAACCGAACTTGTGAAAAAAAAAAAAAAATGTTTTTAAGTATTTGGACTACAGTTAGGAGAAAAATACTTCAAGAAGAAAAGTCTTGTACTGAAATTAGAGTTGAAATCTTACTAGCATGAAGTGGTGATTTAAAAATAAATAAATAAATAAAAAATTATAAAGACTTGATAGGCAGACGAAGCTCAACAGCTGCAGGATTCCAATTAGCTTTAGCAAGTCCAGCGTCTGCATGTTGGCTTATTGTGTGACTTGCTGGTATTTCTTAATGGAACGGAGCCATTACCTACTTTTATATTAACTTCGCTGTTATTGTTCTTATCCTGTAAAGCGTCTTTGAGTTTCTGAAAATACAAACAAAATGTATTATTGTTATTTACTATAATTAAATATTAAAGATACTAGTACCGCCTGAAGCCGAGAGCGGTCATGGCCGCACATTTTTTAAACGCCGTTTTCTCGATAACGAGATAATGATCCCGTTGACAGTTTGGGCTGTCACTTCAGCTTTCATCACAAGTTGTCAGACTTCCTGGTGTGACGTATCTTATACAGACAGCTGACCGGGAACTCCGACATGACGTGTCATGAGAACAGCTGACCGACTTACAATGAAGCGCTCGTGCCCGGTCACGAGAAAACGAGTTTTGTTATCTCGAGATAACGAGAAAATTAACTCGTTATCTCGAGAAAACGGCGAAGAAAGAACAGTAGCGGAAAACGACCGCTCTCGGCTTCCGTACCACCTGTGCTTTTTCGACAAAAAAAATGTCTGAATAAAACGTCGTTTCAAGAGGCTTTTTTAAAAACTATTATTTTATGAATAAATTACAAATATTACTTGCGCAATTAGCTGATATAGCACCAGCGTTACAGCAGTTTAAGCTAGCAGCGCTGTCCAACCCGATAATCTATTTAAACGGGCTGTAAAGTTATTTATTATCAGTTATTGTGTCAAATTAAACACTGACTAACCTTTTTTGGACGTTTATAGCCTGGTGCTAAACAATAAAGTCAACCATATTTGCCTTCTAGAAAACACATTCACCTGTTTGAAGTCATCCATTAAGCCATGTTCCGCTTATGTGTCAGCTTCAAAATAAGAGGCGCACTTTCAAAATAAAATAGAAGTAACACAACAAGCCCTTACAACATAACCAGTAGAAAAGACAGAAGAAAAAAAAACACTACTCCCATGAGAACGCAACACCAAAAAACAGGTCACTTACAACTATAGTTATTGTCTTATTAAAAAGTGATTTTTTTACTACTAAGGTCTATTATTGCTAGGCCCGTATAATACTATGACATTGTTTCTTTTTATCAGAAATTCACCTTAATACCAACTGCATAAGTTTGTAATTTTAGTATTACGTTTAAAAAGCTGCTGCAACCTCAGTAACTCCATGTCAAAGCTCTGATGTGTGTCTCTTCCTCAACCAGTCAAATTAGTAATAGCCTTTTAGCTCTATTGCCTCTGGTCAATGTCAAAGGAAGATGTGAATTCACTCAGGGAGCTGCTCTTGTGCCTCAACACACAAACATGTATGTATCCCCTTTCCCAGTAATAGTTCACACACACTACATACATTGTGAATAAACAAAAAGTCTGTAGTTTGCGTGGAGTGAATCTGATGTGTATCTTCAGGGAACACATGCAAGCAACATAAATGCGAGCAGAGAGTCTGTGTGGAGTGTGTTTGTGCCGCGTCAGGTTGTCTGTCAGGGTGATAGATGGCCCCCACTAAAGAGCGCTAAGCTTCTGAAGAGCCTCGATGTTCCTCGTTGCTTTCACTTTGCACCGGGCCCCACAGCGAGGAATACAGCACTCATAAATAGTCATGTGGATGGTTGGAGGGAAGAAGGAAAGGCTGGGGACAGAAAAGGCTTGGTGAGGCAAGAGACAGCAGGAGGGCTGGATGAGGATGAATAAATGGATGAAAATGGGATGGTTTAAAAAATTACTTTGGGCAGGAAGAGTGACAGAAAAACTGGAGATATACTGAGGAAAAGGATGAGACGTGGGGAAAGAATTTCAACAGAACTAAGATAATGACTGGAGACCGATTTGGAGAAAAAGATAAGAGACAGTGGGAACAGAGGAAACGTGATCATGTCCGTTATCAGGCTGCAATTATTGCTTAGTCAGTTGACGCTCACTTCTCTTCTCAGGACCCCTAATTTTTGCATGTACTTCCTGCTTCAGGGGAATACCACTTGTTGCTGTTTACAGTGAAAAATGTCTTCTTGGACTGAGGACAGTTCAGAAACTGTTCCTCGTAAAACAAAATGAAGAAAAAAAAAGCACATATCCTGCTGTTCATCCCAATAAAACGTTAAACTACAGAGCGCAGAGCCAAACAAAATGTCTCCATTCACATCATTTTTGTTTTATTGGGCCGCTATGTCTAACATATGAACATTTTCATTGTTCAAATAAAACACAGCTCAGTTGTATTTACACTCTAAAAGGTAAGATTACTTAAAATGCATTTCTCGGCTTTATTTAGATCTCTTTTTCTCCAGTTGAGTGAACTCCTGCAATTTGAGCAAGTACATAATTTGTATGAGTGAGCTATAAAACTATATGCAATACAGAAGATGTTTCCAGAAACTGAACTGGGCTAAACTTTTTTTCTGAGTTTCTAGTTAAGTTGTTCAACTTGTCACCAATGATTTAATCACAGCTTCATTTGATCAGGCCACTATTTCATCCATCACATTCCATCCCAGACTTCACACAGGCTCCAGTTGGGTACTGACTGCTAGACTATACCTGAAGACAGTCAGCAGCTGGATCCAGATGTCCTGCACGTCGAACCATCTCGGTGTTGGTATCATACTGAAAGGTAGCACTGTCATGGGCGACGCTGAAAACCAGCAAGGTGTTTGCTTTATGCTTGAACTCATATATGCTCTTTATCTCAGTTTTGTGATTGTGTGATTTCATTTGTTTCCACCAACACTGGCCTTGTCTTACAGAATGTTATATTGTTAAACAGGCAACTTCCCATCATTATCCTCTTCGTGTTTACATGTGGTATTAACATTGAGAAAGGCCAGACTGATTTCCCTTTTCCTCAGAGCCTTAAGGTTAACACTACCTAGGTAATAAGAGAGAAGACAGAAGATCCTGATTTATTTTCTGGCTTCTTATGGTGATGTTAGAAACGTAACAGCCTGGATAGTGTCCAAAGCAAGAAACAACCATAAGAGTCCCCGATTCAAATTCAGATGTCAGTGCTGTTATCAAAGAGGAGTGTTACACCCAGCTGTATTAACAAGAAAGCGCGTTGTTACTGATCTAGTTTCTCACACTCTCCTTCTTTACCTTCCTTGCCTCCTTCAAAAAGCAAGAACTGTTGCAGAGTTTCCACAGTTCCTCTAGTTGTTCTTTTGTGCTGTAAATCAAATCTTTATTTCCTGGGTGATTTCCAACCCATTGGCTGACAGATCTGCAGAGTGAAAGCGAGGCCTATAGGGAGCCAATCTAAATGCAGATGGAGTCATTATTCTATAGCCATTAAACTGTGCAATCAACATTTACTTCAGAATAACAAGTTAAAGCAAAAAACAATTCAACCATTTACCACTTTAAAATAAAAAATAACCCTGTGGACTAATCAGTCTTTACAGGGCTTACTTTTATTTAACAAAAGCAGTTTTCTAAATTC